ATCTCAGCAGGGTTCCCTTGCCCGGCCTACAGGGAGGTCCCCTCTAGGCTAGGGTCATCACTCACCTGGCAGTGGGAAGGTGACCCCCAGGAGGGCCAGCAGTAACACCGGGCTCATCACCCGTCTGTGGCTGGTAATCTCTTTCTGCTTTTTCACCAGGAAACAAGTCCTTTATACCAGCCCTTAAGCAGCCAGCCCAGGAAAGGGTGGGGAGGGGAGGGCCTTGCTAAATGGAGGCCTGGGCCCCACCCCAAGTCTTGACTGCCCCACCGGTCTATCAGGGACCCCCTTTCTCCCTCAGACCTTGGGGTCCAGGCCCCCAGCCCATCCTCCCTCAGATGGAGGGTCCAGGACCCCAGCCCCTCAGCCCCTCCTCCTTCAGACCCAGGAGTCCAGGCCCCCAGTCCCTCCTCCCTCAGACCCAGGAGTCCAGGCCCCCAGTCCCTCCTCCCTCAGACCCAGGAGTCCAGGACCCCAGTCCCTCCTCCCTCAGACCCAGGAGTCCCAATCCCCAGGCCCTCCACAATTAGAAACTATGGCATCTTGACCCTAGGGTCCCCCTGGTCCAGACTCCCAGCCCTCTTTCCTCCTCAGGCCAGCTGTGTGGATCGCCACCCCTACCCTGGTTCTCCAGTAGTTCAGGAAGGCAGTTTCCTCATTTCTCATGGGCTCCCTGGCCACGTCTGTACCCCAGATGAGGAAATGACCCAACTACATCTGGGGACGCTGTGCAGTGGCCATAGGCTCGTCCCCCTGTCTTCTGGCTTAGTTTCTACCCTCCACTGGCTTCCCACTTCTCTGTTCTTTCTCTTTCCTTCCCATATTGCTTTTCTTTTGATTCTCCTTTTCATGTTTTTCTCTCATGCTTTCTCTTCTATTCTCTGCCCTCACAGTACAACATAGTCCCCAATTTCCTACCATCAGGAAAGTCCCCAATTTCCTACCATCAGGATAAGACTTGGCCAGAGGTGGAGTGTAGACTGAATATCTATGAAAGAATTAGGATATATTTGAAAAATGCAACATCTATTTGCTGGAAGCCAATGGCAGAGCAGTGGTGTGCTGAAAAACTCACAGAAAAACAATACCCACAAATTCTGCCTCGTAGTGTTAGCCTATTTCTCTGGTGTCAATACTCATAGCATGTCTGATTTTAAGCTACCAACAGTTTACCAACCGAGCTGATGAAATCCCTAGCTAATTAACCATTGCTCTTTCCAGGACTGTACAAATCAGCTGTAACACACTGGGGAGGAGGAAGACAGGAAGGAACCAGGGTTATCTGTCAGTGACTGCAGAGGGATGTTGGAGTGTCTGTGATGGAGAGAGGAGAAACAGAAGAGGGAAGGCGAGGGCAGGAATAGCAGAGAAAGAGAAATGAATGTAACTTGCAATTATGTGTTTATTTTTGACATCTCTATAAATTTTATCTTTATTTGTCTTTGCAAGTTTATTGCAAGTTTAATATTTGCCACACAGACAGGGAAGTATTTGTCAAATCTCCTGCTCTGTCTCCACCACCTACATGGCATATAGTACATGTCCAGTAATTAATTTTTTTTTTTTTTAGAAACAGAGTCTTGCTTTCACCTATGCTGGAGTACAGTGGTGCAATCGTAGCTCACTGCAGCTCCCTACAGCCTCCATCTTCTGGACTCAAGTAACCCTCCCAACTCAGCCTCCCCAGTACCTGGGACTACAGGTGCGCACCACCATGTCTGGCTATTTTTTGTATTTTTTGCAGAGATACGGTCTCACTATGTTGCCTAGGCTGGTCTTGAACTCCTGGGCTCAGGTTATCCTCCCTCCTTGGCCTCCCAAAGTGCTGGAAGTAGAAGCATGAGCCACCAAGCCCCAGCCTCAATAAATATTTATTGAATGAATGAATGCATGAAAAGGGGAAGACAACAGCAGAGCCCTCACTCCATTTGTACAGGTTGTGCACCCTACAAATCTTGCCCCCTCCCCAGCAATTCACATTGTCATTGTGTGGATGGTGCCCTGGAACTGTGCATGGCCTAAAGCAGTGTCCCTGATGGAAGCGGGAAGGGAAGGGTGGGCGAAGAGGCAAACAGAGTCATAGGTACTCAATTCAATGTGTTACTTTAACATACATGTGGTCAACAATCATATGAAAAAAAGCTCAACGTCACTGATCGTTAGAGAAATACAAATCAAAACCACAATGAAATACAGCCTCACACCAGTCGGAATGACTATTATTAAAAAGTCAAAAAGTTACGCATGCTGGGAGAAAAAGGAACACTTAGACATTGTTGCTGGAAGTGTATATTAGTTCATCCATTGTGGAAGACAGTGTGGCAATTCCTCAAAGACCTAAAAACAGAAATACCACTTGACCGAGCAATCTTATTAATGGGTATATACCCAAAGGAATATAAATCATTCTATTATAAAGATGCATGCATATGTATGTTCATTGTACCACTATTCACAATAGCAAAGACATGGAATCAATAGAAATGCCCATCAATGGCAGATTGGATAAAGAGAATGTGGTACATATACACCATGGAATACTATGCAGCCATAAAAAAGAATGAGATCGTATACTTGGCAGGAACACGAATGGAGCTGGAAGCCATTGTCTTTTTCTGACTAACACAGCCACAGAAAACCAAATACCACATGTCCTCACTTATAAGTGGAAGCTAAATGATGAGAACACGTGGACACATAGAGGGGAACAACACACACTGAAGCCTATCAGAGGGTGGAGAGTGGGAGGAGGAGGAGGAGGGAGAGGATCAGGAAAAGTAACTACTGGGTACTAGGCTTAATACCTGAGGGATGAAATAATCTGTACAACAAACCCCCACGACACAAGTTTGCCTATATATTAATAACAAACCTGCACACGTACTTCTGAACTAAAATAAAAGTTAAATTTTAAAGAAAGTCTTGCTTTAATCAACAAATGTTTACTGAAGCTGGAATATGTGCTAGACACCATCCTAGTGGCTGGGGATACAGAGACGCAAAGAAGGAGGAGGCCGCTGCTTTTTGTCAAGCTCACAGCCTATGAAGGGGCAGACTCTAAACCAACACAGAAGCATGAAAAATATTAGGTGGTTCAGGGTGCTGGGTAGAGAGTGAAAACCTGGTGAGGTGAAAGTAGACAACTGAACTGGCTGCTTTGGCTAGTAGGAAATCAGTGAGGGCCTTCCTGAGGAGGTGGCATTTAGCTGTGAGCAGAATGGGAAAAAAAAAAAGAGCCAGCCCTGGAAGGACATGCAGAAAGAGCATTCCAGGCAGGGGAGGAGCAGGTGCAAAGGCCATGAGGTGAGATCCAGCTTGGTTTAGGTAAGAATTAGAAAGAGATGCCAGGCCTGGGCGTGGTGGCTCACACCTGTAATCCCAGCACTTTGTGAGGCTGAGGTGGGTGGATCACTTGAGCTCAGAAGCTCAAGACCAGCCTAGGCAACATGGTGAAACCCCATCTCTACCAAAAATACAAAAAATTAGTGAGGCCTGGTGGCATGTGTCTGTAGTCCCAGCTACGCAGGAGGCTGAGGTGAGAGGATCACTTGAACCTGGGAGTCAGAGGTTGCAATGAGCCAAGATCATACCACTGCGCTCCAGC